AGCCTTAACTGGGGAAATCACAAATTTGCCATGATTCCTGGCTTTTCATGCATGATACTTGCAAAAACCTGTACATGCGTGTATAATATATAATAGAATCGAAGTTCTTATACCTAAGAACTGGCTTCCTGCTCTGCATTATCGTGAACCTCTGAGGAGGACTTTTCGGATTCTGCTGGCTTCTCAATAATCATATCGACAATCTAAAATTTCAACGACAAAATAGTTTTTACTAAGCAAGAACTAGGTAAAAGAGCTGAAGTTTGATATTGTTCAGGCTATAATAATTATGAACTAAACATTACAACTCTCTTCTGATATGCTTCGAGAGCTTTCGCGTACTCTGCTTTTCTACTCTGGGCTTTTTCAAAATAAGGAACTTTATCCTGAAAAGACAAAAAGGGGATAGGATGTAATACTTGAAACTAAAACCCATCCATGCTTTGGCGTCAAGTCAGTCAGAAATTTATAAAACTATCCATTGCATGAAGTAAAAATCAATAGAACTTTGGATGTAAAATCAGTCTTTGATCTTTTTAAGTTTCGTTGGTGCATGATAAAATTTGGTTCTTACAGCATGAGACATTGATTTCCATTTATCGCCACCAGCTTTTCCGACCTGCGTATTAGAGCATCTGAAAAATCAGTCTGCATAATGAAACTACTACGCCTGTTTGGTTGCTTGGAAATAAAAAATACAGCAACACAAACATGTATTGGAATGTCGCTATGGCATATAATATTTTGAAAAAATGGGGACTAGGTGGAAAATATCCTCTATCTGTTGCCAGGAAAGTTTTTAACATTTAGAAAAGAAAACGTTAAGTTAAGATCTAACCATGGAAACCGATTTGTTTTCAGGAAAATTCTCTTTGAATGATTTTCTGAAGTCCTCCCTATCATTTCCAACGTCCAAAGTAGACAGTTAGATTTCAATTTTTTAAAAAGGAAAAGACATTTGAAACTCAACAAACAGTTGCATGCGGATCCAAAACAAAGAACTAACATGAAAATGAAAAACGCTCCTGGAGGACGCTTTGGTGCAGCAGGATCCTTGGGAGCACCGGAGTTCTTGCTTCCTCTCAGACAGGAATTACAATTCGGTAGACTTACAAGCAACCGCGGAACTAAGTAAGATCTTAATTCTAGAAGGAGACCACAGTCCGAATGAAAGAATTAAAAAAATATCAACATCCAGTAAAATTTTTGAGGGGTTTAAAATGAAAACATGTTTAATCACGGAAAAAAAATTGTAAACAAGCAGAAACAGAAGCAACTACGAAAAAAAAAAAAAAGCACAATCCAAGAACCAGAACACAATAGTAAAAAGAGAAAACATAAGCGATTACATAACAACTAAGAAGGAAATTTCTTTCTAGTCTCATAATTAACAATTGGTATCAGAACTTCTTTGAAGTATCTTTGCAACAGGTGAGGAAGAGAAAATTACAGTAAACTAGTGAAGGAGACAAGCAGAGTTGATGCCAACTGAGGCAACATTTGTGCAGCTAGTCATTCCACACTTTAATGGTCACTATGATCACTAAAGCATGTCGATGGAAATTTTTTTGAGGTCCAAGGAGTACTGGAACATTGTTGAATCTCGTGTAGTAGAACCAGTGGCTGGAACGATGTTGATGCAGCAGCAAAAAGAAGAATATGAAGCATTAAAGTTGAAGCATTCCAAAGTTTCTGTGATGGGTAAGGGCAATGTGAAAATCTGTACCAAAGAAAATACTAATCAAATAATTTCAATGTTTTCTTTGTTCCAGATCTAAAAACTAATCTATTAAGTATTGGTCAACTCCAAGAGAATGGATATGAGATTCTAATTAAGGCTGGAGTTTGCAATGTTTGATATGAAAATTTGGGCTTGATTGCTCAAGTCAGAATGACAACAAATCGGATGTTTCCACTTTATCTTCAAAATACTACTTCTTCATGTTTCTTTTCAAGATCGAAAGAGGTGGTTTGGCTTTGGTATTTCTAATATGCTCACTTAAATTTTGGTGGTTTGAAAACTCTGCAACAAAAGCAAATGGTAACAGGACTTCCACAATTTGATTGTCCATCAGATGTTTGTAAAGATTGTGTTGTTAGTAAACAACACCATAACACTTTTCATAAAAGAAATTCACAGAGAACAAAGAAAGTTTTAGAACTGGTGCACTCTGATATTTGAGGTCCAATTAATCCATCTTCAAATGGAGGTAAAAAATATATAATCACCTTTATTGATGATTATAATCGAAAAACTTGAGTTTATTTTTTGCAAGAAAAATTTGAAGCTTTTGTTGTTTTTAAAAGTTTTAAAGCACTTGTTGAGAATATAACTCACATGAATTTCTAATATTTTGTGAGTGTCATAGAATTAAAAGGCAACTTACAGCAATATACACACCTGAGCAAAATGGTGTTTGCGAGAGAAAAAATCGCACCATTTTGAATATGATTCGAAATCTTTTAAAAAGAAGTGGCATTCCAAAAATATTTTTGGCCTGAAGCAGTTAATTGGAGTATTCATGTTTTGAACAGATCTCCTATATTTGTTGTTCAAAACATAACTCTGGAAGAAACTTGGAATGGACATAAATCATCAGTAGAATACTTTAAAGTTTTTGGTTGCATTGCTTATGCTCATGTTCCAGATGAAAAAAAAAGAAGTTATGTGATAAAGGAGAAGAAAAATGAAAAAAAAAAAGAAGTTATATGATAAAGGAGAAGAAAAATGCATTTTTCTTGGTGTTAGTGATCATGCTAAAGCCTACAAGTTATATAATCCTATCACCAAGAAAAGTATCATTAGTCGTGACGTGATTTTTGATGAAGCAAACCTCTAGAAATGAGATGAAAAAATTAGTCAACAGCAAATTTCAGTTGATTTTGATGCTGAAAATGAAGAAAGACAGTAATAGTTGGTGAATGATCATCACATGACCAATGAGGAACAACCATTGGTTACTCAAACTCCTCCCAATGATGATGAACAATGACGTCAAAGAGTCAGGAAAAGGTCAACATGGATGACTGATTATGAGGTAACTGGAATTGAAGAACCATTAACTCATTTTTTCTTTTTCTCATATTGTGATCCTATGTCTTTTGAAAAAGCCTTAAAAGAGTCAAAATGGAGGAAGGCAATGGATGATGAGATAGCTGCCATTGAAAGAAATAGTACTTGGGAGTTGGTTGAACTACTAAAATGCCAAAAATCCATTGGAGTGAAGTGGGTTTGCAAAACTAAGTTGAATGAAAAAGGAGAAGTTGATAAATTCAAAGCACATTGAGTTGCTAAAGGCGAGTTCGGGATTGATTATATTGAAGATTTTGCACTGGTAGCAAGGCATGACATAATTAGAATGATTATTACATTAACAGCTCAAAATTCATGGCTTATTTTCCAATTAGACATGAAATCGGCTTTCCTACATAGAGATCTAAAGGAGCAGGTATTTATTGAACAACCTCTAGGTTATATTAAGGTTGGAAATGAACATAAAATGTATAGACTAAAGAAAGCTTTGTGTGGTTTAAAACAAGCTCCACATGCTTGGTATGGTCGAACTGAAACTTATTTTTTGAAGGAAGGTTTTAAAAAATGCGTGTATGAATGCACACTTTTTATAAAATTAGAAGATGATGGGAGGGTGCTTATGGTTTGTCTTTACGTAGATGATTTAATTTATACCGGTAATGATACAGCCATGTTTGAAAAGTTTAAGAAGTCTATGATGACCGAGTTTGATATGAGTGATCTTGGATTGATGCAATATTTTCTTAGCATAAAAGTTACTCAATCTACTGGTGGCATATTCATTTATCAAGAAAAGTATGTGCAGAAAGTCTTGAATAGGTTTTGGATGAAGAATTGCAATCCTGCTAGTACTCTAATGGATACAGGAATGAAGCTTGTTAAAAATCCTAAAGGAAAGACGGTAGATAGCATTGTTTACAGTGGGAAGCTTGATGTATTTAACCACCACAAGACCATATATTATGTATGATGTGAGCAAAATCAGTCGATACATGGAAAGTCCTAAGGAAGTACATCTTCTTGCTACAAAAAAAATTCTCTGATACTTATAAGCTACTTCTAAATATAGACTACTCTACAGGAATGATGAAAAATCAGGTCTATTTGGTTTTACGGATAGTGATTATGCTGGAGATTTAGATGATAAAAAAAGTACATCTAGTTATGTTTTCTTGATGGAGCAACAACAGTTTCATGATCTTCCAAAAAGTAATCAATAGTGACATTATCAACAACTAAAGCCGAATATATAACTGCTGCAGCATGTGCTTGTCAAGCAGTCTGGTTAAGAAAGATTCTTGATGCGCTTCACTTCAAGTAAGAAGGACTTACTTCTATCTACTGTGATAATGGATCAACAATTAGATTATCTAAAAATCCAGTTCTACATGGAAAAAATAAACATATAGATGTAAAATTTCACTTCATAAGGAATCTTATAAAACAAAGAGTAATCTATCTCAGTTATTGCAAGAGTGAAGATCAAGTGGTTGACATTCTGACCAAGCCTTCAAAGCTGTCTGCATTTGAGAAGTTAAGAGAATTGTTAGGAGTTTGCACTATGAATCATTGTTGAACTGATAGTTTGCAAACTTTCAGTTTAAGGGAGGGATTATTGACTAGTTAGAGTTTATCTTTGACTAGAATTCTCTAATTTAGCTGTTGTATAATCCTAATTTTTAGGAATAAGTTAATTAGTTCTTATCTTGTTGGCTGTTTTTATTTTGTAGGTTGATATCTTGAGTTTTTATGCTATAATTTTTGCTTAAAAAGGTGTGCAACTCATTGAAATAATATATGAAAACTTCTGACTTTTCTATTTCAGTAAGTGTTTGCTAAAATTTCTCTTAAATATTTTCTTTACAATATTTAAATTGAACATAATTAGCTAGCTAGAAGATCATATAAACTATAATATTTGATTAGTCAACCAAAAACTTAATTAATTAATGTGTTTGATAAAACTGTGATGATTAATTTAAACTAAATTATAACAAATTTATTATGTTTTTGGACAAAATAAACAATTTATTGCAAATGTAGTAATAATTAATTAAAAATTTAATTTCATTTTTATATTATCGAAAAAATATTAAATTATTATTATTTTATGAAATTTTATATTGATATCAATTTTTTTTTTTTGTTTTAAGAACATTTTTTGATGGGAGTATAAATCTAGAAATGAATTCTACAAAACTTTTTGAACTTATTTCATACATAAACTAAATGCAAATTAATACATAAAATATTACGTTTCTGTTTGATTGATGACTACATTTTTTATTCCGAACAATCTAATCTCATTGTTTATACCTTTCTGAGCACTAAATTGGACCGGTGGATCTCGTCTGCGTTGTTTAATTGACACTCTTTAGGGGCTCCTTTATCTTGTCGTCCCACTGATTCAACCTTTTCTTAGCTTCTTCCACCTACAGTTTAAATTATACATATGATAATAATGATTATTCCAATATTCAACCCAAAGTATACACATAAAAATTAGGTCAACATAACTAAGAAAAGTTATGTGGGTAAATAACAATGGGTTAATGAGTTTTAGCCTAGAAACCAAAGTAAAGTTGATCGAAATTGAACGAAA